AAGCCACATCCGGCAGATCTCGTAGACAAGAACGACTTTCTGCCGCTCAACCTGCACCGAGAGGTTGAGATCGTGGCGCGCTACGCGAGCAAAGACCCAACGCTTTTTGGTGACTCATCATCGGCGCTAGAGCTATTCGTCGCGTGTGCAGCGTTGTGTGCCAACCACAAGGTTCCATTCTCACTTTTTTTCACAGCGGGAGATGTCACTGGGAGTGACTGGAGCTGCGTCCTCACGAAATTGCCATCTGTCACAACAACTTTTGGGGCTATCCGTATAATGAGCGTTATTGCAGCAGATATCGACGTGTACAGGTTCTCTGATACTTCTGGTGTGGTTCAGCGGCCGGATACCATGCGGGGGCTGTCGCAGTTAATGAGCATCGAAGCCTTTGGTGCCAAGGATGCACTAGAGAACGTGGCCGAGAGCGAACTATGCACACTCATGCGCTTCTGCGTTAATGTGAAGGAGCAGAACGTTGCTTTCTTCTTGCATAGTGCCGCCACGGATAATGAGGAAGAGGTTTCGTTTCTGGCGAGGTACAGGCAGGTTTCACACGTCGCACTGACGCGCTGCAAGTATCTGCTGTACCGCCTAGATGGGCCCCGCACACAGGTAATGAGCGAGAATGGCTATATCCCGTTGGTGGACTTGCAGCAACACGCAGAACGCACAAACAAGGATACAATTGTTCATTACAACCTGGGCATTCGTAGCGCTCAGGGTCTGCGGCGCGTTGCACTTGGTGCGCAATCGTCTGCGCAACTCGCAGAGCTTATTGACAGGCTGGAAGTGTCAGACAGTCGTCTGAGTGGGAACACACTTTTAGTTGATATGGTACACCATTTGTCTCACAAGGCGGCAGCAGGCAAGGTGTCTCTAACCCTTCGCGAAGTGAATACGGTTCTGCCTCTACTAGCACGAATGCGACGCGAGCAACCGACAGGGATGATGGATTCCCGCTTCAATCGTCTGCTAGCCGTCATTGAGACAGCTATTGGAACAGCGATGCAAGAAAAACGTTCTGTAGAGGAACTGGTTGATCTTGTAGAGGGTCTTGCAGCCTGTGACATATTACCCACCACTTTCAAGCAGGTGGAGATGGTGCTGCTGCGTTTGATGTTGACGCAGACTTGCAGTGTGGTGCATGTGACTCGTATTCTCAGGGCATTATCGTCTCTGTTGAAGTCTGGTGTGTCGCAGGTGTTGTTGCAGTCAGCCGCTTCCCATGCCACTGATTTTGCTAAATCCAATGGCTCTGTTGGAAGCAGCGAGGCAGAGCAGCTGATCGAGTTGTTGGAAGCCCTTGGAGCCTGCAAGTATGAAGCCCTTCCAGGGCTTATCGTATTTTGCCGAGCGAACTGCCTCACAGAAGATGTGCAGCTTTGTTTAAATGGACGCTGCGGCTACGCATCACTCCTCGCATCCGCCGCTGCCGCTATGCAGCATGAGGACGAATCATTTTCTCAGTGCCTGGCGAACGAGAGTCGTCATCATTTTATTGAATACGCTCGGGTCAAGCAAGAAAAGGATGAGAATCGTTTCGTAGATTGCATCCATGGACTAGTCACCGTTGGGTTTGGGGACGCTGCATTAAGCGACGACACGCGGCGGGCATTGGCAGCTTATCTTGGCAGCACCTGTCTCACACCTGAGCGGTGTGGTGTGATGCCTGCGGTCGTCGTTGCTAGTTTGCTAGAGGACCTCTTGGAATGGTGCGCAATAACGGCGGTGCCAACAGAAGCAGTCATTGCCCCCTTGGAAGCCGCACTTATCGCAAGGTTCCGTTCCTCCAGTATAACAGCAGATGCAGTAGAGTCATCTGAGGAGTTAGCCGAGGCCGCCTGTCGCGTGGTGAGCCTGCAGCACGTGTCGCAAGATTTGCGCAAAGTGGCTGCGGAGGTGCTTGGGAGCGCTATTCTGCGCGCCGAGGCGGCTGCTGACGTGCAGAGGCCCGTAGCGAAGCCCAGCCAATCCTTCGAGGTTGTGGCGCTTTCCACAGCTGAGCAGGAACATAATCACATGAATACTGTTCTGCGTTACTGCGCCGCGCTGCAGCAAAGCGGGATGGCCAAACACGTTGAGGAGTTGATGGTGTAGTGGAAGGAAGAGAAGGGACACGTCCCGCTTTCATGCAGAGGAGGAGAAACTGGTGTTTGTTTTTTCTTCTGCATTATGGTGTTGTCGTTTTATCCATCAGCATTGGTGATGGTTATGCAATTCTCCAAGGGTTTAGCTTGAAGAGCTAATAATTTCTTGTCATTGTGTACTCCTTTTCTTAATTTTTGCATCTTGCGTTTCTGGGAAAGTAGCCTGCAATGGATCATGTGCCGGTCCTGAGTCGTACACATAGCCGGCCGTTGACTGCCCCCATGCGGGGGAGAAGTCTCGCGCTATCGGAAATGGATGCACAAGAATTGGGGTCGAAATTGTGTGCTATCCCTTTTGCGCGGCCGTTATGGAGGGAGTACTCTTTGGGGACGAGCCACCGCAGCCACCTTGTGTACGCCGATGACTGCGATGTTATGGTGGGGCTCATGGAGCAGACGCAGCCGTCGCCGCCACCGCGTGCCAGGAGGGAAGACGACATCGAAGACGTTGAAAAAAACGAGACGGAGGGAGAGTTGTATATAAAGTCGTTGGTGCGCGCTATTGATGAGGGAGTAGTAAAGAAACGCCAGCCTCACGCGAGGAGCATGACGTCTCTGAAGGAGGGAGCGGGGGTGGTATCAGTTGGTGAGTCCGCTGTGAACGCCGCACCAGTGGATGACAAATCGGCACTGCAGGTGTGGACGGATGAGGAGCTTAGGCGCGGCCACATCGAGCGTAGCGCGCATGCCTTCTGCACCAGTCGCTCGCTCTTAAATGCGGTGGATAAGGGGCGATTCCCTCTGGACGCGAACGCGACGCTCACCGAGACTCTGAAAAAGTTAGAGAAGGATCAACGCGAGAATCAGGATGAGGCATTTTTGACGTCGCCTGAGGCGGTCTTCAAGCGGGAGAACTTGTTGGAGCGGCTGATAAGGGGGCCAGTACATAGCTGGCGGGCGATCCATAATCTTTCAACACCGCCCCCACCTCTTTACAATCGCCGTAGAGATTCATACGATCCATCTAGAGACATCACGATCGGTGAACGGTGGCGTCACAGGTTCGACTATGTGAACTACACAGAGCAATTCAATATTGACGAATCTCTAGCCACAAGAGACCTTTGCCGCAACATGGTGATACGACACGAGACAGATACCTTTTCAAAGCCCCCATTGGGGGCGCTCGGGGGTATGTTCAGGAATTGCAGCAGCCGGATTTCCCATGCAGATGACCGCGCAGTACCCAATCGCAAGGAGGAGTCTGTGTGGAATAGCGTCTGGACGCGGCGGGCGAGTGAGATTGCGCTTGAAAGGGAACGGCTACGCCTCATTGACGCGATTCGAGGGTTTGAGCTGCGTGTGGCGGCGGCGGCGCTATCCAAGGAGGCCGTCTGTAACCTACGGGACAGCCTTGTCAAGGTGCTTCGGCAGTGGCCGTGCAACTACAAGAAGCGCCATGTATTTACAAAGGCAGACTTCGTAGAGTGGGTGCGGGGGCGCTACAAGCTACCGCCAAATATTGGAGCCTACAACCCAGAGTCGCTGAGTTTAACGGAGTCAATGCCATCTTCTGCTGAAGCCGCCTTTGTTGAGTATGTGTTGACTGTACTGCCGGATGACCGCAGCGTTAACTTCACTCGAAAAACGCGTATGCGGTAACGTTGGCTTTTGTCTTCTTTATTTGTTCCGGTGAGTGAGTGAGTGTGTGTGTGTGTGTGAAATGGCCTTTATGGTGATGTAAACTACCTTTGTTTTGTTCTCTTCAGAGAGGGAGATTGGGTCTAGAGCCGGCTTTCCGAGTTGAACCATTTTTTTTTTTTGTATGAGTCATTTGTATTGCTTGATGAATGGGAAAGGGTGTTGATGGTTTCTGCTCTCCTACCTCGGCTGTCAACTGTGGTTTCGGCGTCTTCTCTTGCCTGCAGTGAAAGCATAGACACAGAAGCGTACACGCAGACACACACACACACACACACAAATATATGTGTCTGTATATACAGGAAGTTCGCGCAAACGAGAGAATCGGCATAAGTAGAAATATTAGTGCCACACTGGAGACATGAGTCGCGCCGAGCTCCGCGATGTGGATATGGCGACGATTCACGAGGGCAACCCTCTGATGGAGGGTGTAATTCACCACGTGTTCGCCAAGGCGAGCGACATAGCGAGGCGGCCGGATGTGCTGCACTTTCTTGACCCGGCGGTGGCGCACACAATGTACGCCTTCCGCGACGCCGCGCTGGGGCCGGTGGAGGAGATGTGTGGAAAGCTGCTACTCGTTATTCCCATTGCGGAATATGACAGCGCCAGTAGCAACGGAGGTCACTGGAGCACACTCGTCCTACTGCGTGCAAGTGCCGAAATGCCCTTTTCTGCCTTCCGTCTTGATAGTCTCTACGACAAGAACAAGGAATTGTGTGCATCTTTTCTGGAGATGCTTCACAGGTGCTCGCCATGTGGTGACTGCATCCCATTGTGCAGCGAGGCTGTCGATTTCCCCTCCCAAGAAAACAGCACGGACTGCGGCTGCTTCGTTTGTCTGGCCGCCCTTCACATTGCTTCTGGTGTGCAGAAGAAGGGCGTATGCGACACCCTTCTCACGTTCCCCCCTAGTTGGGACACATCGCAGTTTCGCCGCGCTTTGTTGGAAGAGGTGCAGGAGAAAGGTATTCCCTGACTCATTTTGCTATATGTATGTATATAAATATATATATATGTGTGTGTGTGTGCTGGTATTGCAAAATCACCTCATTCAATCTTGTTGGGCCCTTTTTCGCCTGCTGCACTCTCTCTTCTTCCCTCTCTGAAGCCTCATCGATCCAACAAGTACCACCAAAAAGGAAAAGGGAAAGGGCCTACAGCCACACAAACATACTCAAAAGAGGAGGAACAACAAAAAGTAAAGAGCGGATTTTTTTACTAAACGAAACGCAACAGGATATACAAATAAAAAGGAAGAAATGACGGCTACACAGGAGGAAGTGGCACCGGAAGTCTCAATCAAGAAGCCGCTGCAGGTGGCATCGCTCTACGTGGGCGACCTTGACCCCGCCATCAACGAACCGCAGCTTGTGGAGCTTTTCAAGCCGTACGGCACAATCCTCAATGTGCGTGTCTGTCGCGACATCATCACGCAGCGCTCGCTGGGGTACGGCTACGTCAACTTTGACAGCAACGAAAGCGCGTCCAAGGCAATGGAGGCTCTGAACTTCAAGCGCATTGGTGAGAAGTGCATCCGCATCATGTGGCAGCAGCGCGATCCGGCACTGCGGTACAGCGGCGACGGCAACATTTTCGTGAAGAATCTCAATAATGAGGTGGACAGTCGAGAGCTCAGCATCATATTCAAGAAGTTTGGCGATATTCTCTCATGCAAAGTCATGGAGGACGAGGGTGGCAAAAGCCGCGGCTACGGTTTCGTGCACTTCAAGGACGATGATGCAGCAAAGAACGCCATCGAGAAGATGAACGGTGCGAAAGACTACGCGGATGCAGAGAAAGCAGGCTTGTACGTCGCCAACTTCATTCGCCGCAATGCCCGCCTTGCAGCTCTTGTTGCAAATTTCACCAACGTGTACATCAAGCAGGTGCTGCCCACGGTGGACAAGGAAATCATCGAAAAGTTCTTCTCAAAATTCGGCGGCATCACAAGTGCCGCAACGTGCAAGGACAAGAATGGTCGTGTGTTTGCTTTCTGCAACTTTGAGAAGCATGACGATGCCGTGAAGGCAATAGAGGCATTCCACGATCAGGTGGTGGAGGGCGTCACGCCACCGGGCGAAAAGCTTTACGTGCAGCGTGCCCAGCCGCGGAGCGAGCGGCTAATTGCGCTACGGCAGAGGTACATGCAGTGCCAGTCACTCGGCAACAACCTCTATATCCGCAACTTTGACCCTGACTTCACGGAGGAGAACCTCCGTGAGTTGTTCAAGGAGTACGGTGAAATTCGCAGCTGCCGTGTCATGGCGGACGCGAACGGCAACAGCCGCGGCTTCGGCTTCGTCAGTTTTGAGAACGCCGATCAAGCCAACGCCGCACTCCGCGAAATGAACGGCCGTATGCTGAATGGGAAGCCACTCATTGTCAACATTGCCCAGCGCCGCGACCAGCGGTACACAATGCTGCGGCTGCAGTTCCAGCAGCGTCTGCAGATGATGATGCGCAGGATGCACCCCATGCCGTTCGCCTCGCAGGGTCCCACGCCGCAGCGCCGCAACATGCGCGGCGCACAGCGCGGTGGCGGCAACCGTCACCAGGCTCCCCTGCACTCCGCCCCGCCCCC